ACAGAATACACGTTGCTAAAGCAGACAGCTGACGAAATCGCTTGGAAATACAGATGAAAACAGTAATGAATTGTATTCTCGTATGAAAATCACAATTTATTCTTGATGAACCAAGAATACGTTAGACGCAGGTTTGAATATGCTAGAGGAGAGATTGAGATGAGTGACGCTTTCAGCTGTATGTTCAAAGTTTTTTTCTTTTTTTGAACTTGTTCGTGTTGATGAAGCTGAGTAGTTAAACTCTCTCTCTAACACTAACGGCGTTCCGATAGTCAAAACGGAAAGCCGATGTCTCAAACCGAGAAGTGGGCGGTCGGATGAACAAGCTCCACCACGGCGTCCACGAATACAACAAAGTGAAGACGCCAATGAAGAACTCTGGTAAAGCTTAGAGTATGAGGGCGGAGGCTGCGTTTACTTGCTTTTTTTACTATTTTACTCCCTCTGTTAAGGTAAGCCAATGAGTTATTTGTGTAAAAGCAGAAGGAAGCGAAAGATGAATGAGAAAGCAACCGTTCAGTTGTGTCTGAGCTAATCGAAATGGAATCAGAGAACAACGTGAGATTTCACGTCTCTCTCTTACGTCATGCACTCACGTAATATGCAAATTAGCATCAAAAACTAATTACGTGGTTAAGTGCTTGTGTTAACAAATCAATTATCCGCAATTAAGTAATTACTAATTAAATGGAACACAATTCTTTCCAAAAAAGGATATTTCCATATTTGGGGTTGCAAAGAAGCCGCCGTCCGTCAACGTTAATGGCTTTTTTATGTTTTTTATGTTTGACAAATTGGGAATTTATGAAAAATAAATTATGAAAAAGTTGTTTTTTTGAGAGTCAGAGGAATGTTTATTTGTTTTTCTAACGGAAGATTATCATGAAAATTATATTCCAAATAAGGAAACTCATGCTTCTTCTTCTTCTACTTCTTCTACTCCTTACTGCTATACTCGTTAAGGAATCTATATGGAAAGTGTCATCTGTTGTTAGTACTCTCTCTCTCTCTCTCTCTATGTATGTATCAGCTATGTATGTATCAACCAACCCTTGTCGATCTCTCTCTCTCTCTATCTCCTAACTCACAACTCCAACTGATTTGAGCTTTTGTTTCTCTTTGCAAGATATAAACAATAGATATAAAGAAAATAATATAAAAAATACATAGAAAGATGTATATGGATAGAGTGGTAGTTGGTGGTGGTGGTAGTGGTGGTGGTTGTGTATAGATGAAGTGATGAAACAAGCAGCTTTCGTGACAATTCACTTCAGAATTTATACCGACAACGACGGAAAGTTTTCATCATCATCATCAATCGAATTACGTCGTCGTGCGGTTGTCTTTGTTTGCCCAAAAAAATCATTTTTTTACTTAAAAGAATTGTAAGTATTGAAGTTGTCTCTGACTATCTGAGGCTTCTCCTTGCCTTCTCTCTTCCTCTCTCTCTCTCTTTCTTTCTCTCGTTCTTTCTGTTATCTACTGTCTGTTCACTCTTCATTTTACTTAGTATTACAATCTACTTCTTAGAAAGGCAATGACTAGAATTCCGATGTAGCCAGGTTTGAGTTGAGTCCTCTCATTTATGAGAAAGCATGCACAGATGATTTGAGTTATGAGCTGCTTAGCCACTATAGCGGCTATTTGGTTGTTTTTCTGTGCAGCTCCAACAAGAACATCGAACTGCTATTCGTTCGGAGGTCAATTGAAGTCCAAGACGCTTCAGATTTCTTACAAATCCACTGAGCTTTGCGTTGTTGCAACAAGAAACACAGATTCAATAAAGACGAAGAAAAAGGCGAAAAAAAGTGCGAAAACTTTTTTTTTTTGGAAGCTAGAGGGAGTTGAGAGAAGAAGCTGAAGACAGAGAGAGAGAGGAGAGAGAGAGAGAGAAAGCACTTTGCATACGAAAAGAGACGTTGATGAATTCAAAAAGCGTCGTATGAGCTTTCTGAAGAACAGAAGTTTTTCTCGTTATCTTTGATTGTCAAATGGAACTATAAGTGAATTGTGCCAACCTAGTTTTCTATTTTTGACTCCAATAGTGTAGAAGCTGTTGGGGGAAATTGGGAATATAACTTGCAAACTTCCTGACATTTCTCGCACTTTATACTTTAAAGCTTGAATATTTGAGAATTGTGGACAACTTTCAGTCCTTAAATGGAAGAGAAGCAAAAAAAAAAACAAATTGATGTAAAGATTATTGCATAGGAAATTACAAGAAGGATGGATGAATGATCATTCAAGGTCAGACATAGCTGATGGAATCTTCTACCACTCTCTGAAACACAGCTCAATCTTTCTCTTCAACTCTTTCTACACACACACAAACTATAGAGAGAGAGAGAGAGAGAAATAGAATGTCTAAAGAGAGAGAGAGGGTGTGATTGAAGAAAAAATAGAAAAAAACGAGAAATTCTTTCAACATGACGCTCAAAGGGAAGAAGCTTCTCATACTTTGCCCATTTACTCTCTACTACAGTTGCATAAACTATTTGAAAATGTATTGAAGTAGAACAAACGAATCTTTGATAAGGTTTTTCCTTTTTTAGCTCCTCAAAGAGAGTGAGAGAGTAAGGAGGACAAGGAGGATGGGGGGATTGAAGACGTGGATCTTCAGGAAAGAGCGTTTGGAGCATAGAGAGAGTAGCTCCAAAAGACATAAGAAGATGAACATTAAGATGAGGAACAATAGGAAGGAAAAGCTGTAAGTTAATTCCGAATGCAACACAACGAATATGGGCAGAAGGAAAAAGTTCGAAACAAAAAATGCTTTGGAAGGTAATGTGGACGTTGGTGAGAAGCTAATTACGTGGTTTGCCTCTTCATCTCCAGGGAGTTTTGTATAATTAAGTATCTAGTCGTCGCTACATGTTATAATAAAAAGGTTGAAATTCAAGAATGTGGTGTATGAGCTTAAGAGAGAGAGAGAGGGAGTGAAGAGAGAGAGAGGGGGAGGAAAGAGAAAACATACTCAACTTGAAAATGTTTTTTGGGATTAGGTTAAAAGCCTTAATTTGGATAAGCGGTGGGTAGAAGCCTTTATCTCTGTCTCTCTCTATGTTTGTTACAATCTCTCTCTCTCTGTATATCTATACTATGTGTGAATGTTTCTTCTTCCACTTGTATGTATGTGTGTGTGTGTGTGAAAATCTTGAAAACTTCTGATTATGAGACTACCATTAAAGATCCTTAATATTCATGTGCATGTGTCTTCAATAAACATTTTTGTTTTTCTTTCTCATCCCAACAATCATTAGAAAGTCAAAAAACTGAATGTTTAATCATAACGGAATGTATGTGTATGTGTGTGTGTGTATGCGTCGTTCGTACGTGTATCACATGTGTTCACGTGACATCAGACATATCTCTTTGATTTATTTGTTTGTTGTGATTGTGATGGAGAGAGTGAGGGAGGAGATGAGGAAACGAACGGTTAGGTCTCTCAATCTCTTCCTTCTCCATAGAACTAATCATGTATAATTATCTTTTCGTGAATATCTTTGTTTTCAAACATTTTTGTCACAAAAACGAAGATGAACGAAGAAGATGAAGAAGACGACGACCACAATCAAAGGAACTTTCAGAAATAATATTTGGAAGACCGATTCATCAGCTATATTCGAGAACTATTTGCTTTCAAAAGCGTAAACATGGAAAAGACTTACGATCACGTCAAATGGGGTAAGAAGCCGTTGTCTAATGTAAACTGGACAATCATCTTCCGTAAACAGCAAGGAAAAGAAAATAATTTTGTAAAAAGTTAGTCATTAAAACGTATGACGGTGAGCGACTAAGCTATAGAGGAGAGAAAGAGATAGCCAAAGGCTTCCAAAGTTGCAAATCTTCTAGGAAAAGCCTTTGACGTGAGAGGAGAAGCTGTATTCAAGCATTTCTTTCGTATTAGTCACTAACTATATAAATTATAATATTAGTTATGAGAATAACAGTTAGGAGAGAATTTCAATACCAGCAGGAGAGAGAGAGTTAACAGCACAAAGGAAAAAAACAAAGAAAGAAGAGTCAAATGAAGGAAATACTGCTTGGCCGAGCTGCAGCTTTATCTGTTTTTGAGGAAATGAATCGAAAAATTAAAAGAAATGGAGAATTTACTCAAGTTGAACAGCAGAGAGGAGTTGGAGAAAGAAAAAACGACAAATTTTGAGTAGCAAAGAGAGAGAAGCGGAAAGAAGATGAAAGCTGCAAGTAATTGGCGGTAGACGATGAAACTTTAAAGGCTTCTTTCGGTCAAAAGCCACTGAGAAGTAGTTCTTGAGAAAGAAAACAAAAAAATAATTCTACGAATTACGTAAGTATAATGGCATAATTAACTCAACTGAAGCGCCCCTTTAACCATTTGAGAAATGAAGGAAACGAGGACTAACCGTACACATCCATGATTGTGAAATTACTGGAGGAGGATGATGATTCGCAAAACATGTAGGACGATGATTCTCATACTTTTGAATGGAATTGGTTTTAGAGAGAGAAAACTTCCCTCCTTCTCTCTCTTTCTCTCATCCTCTTCGTTCGTCAAGCTTAATGTTTTCATTCTCTGCTTACAAAGTATATGTTGCTTTGACCTCTGCGTTGACGGATTCACTCCCGAGAGACAAAATCAGTCGGCTTTCTCTAACAGAAGCTATCCGTTCACAAGCAAATTCAAATGAATTCAAATCAACTGGCAAAGTATTTGTAAAAGACCGAAATAGCTCTAAATATCACATAAACATGATGAGAGATTTAGCTTCTGCCCTAATTTATTCATTCAAAAGCCGATCTCTCATATGTTCCATGACGGGCTAATTTCATGGCAATCGACTATCTAACCTTATTAGGAAATATAGCACGATTCGTTTGTCATCAAACGTTCTTAAGCTGTAGCATATAGCTGTCTGAAGCTTTATTGATCATTAAGAGGATTTCATAGCTTCTATCCCTTCGTCACCCCCATTCCCCCCCCCCCCTTATGTAATGTAAATGAGATTATTGAAACTTACGTGAGTGAATGGGAAACTTGAATGTGACCTCCTTGGCTTCCATCCTGGCCGAACGTGGTCCTGCGAAGCTGGATTTCTTCTCTACTATAACAAAGTATAATTACATCTCTTAAGCATCTTCCTCTTAATTGCTTTTAATGAAAAAGTATGTTTGATGCGGATGGAGTTGAAGGATTTGGATTTGTCAGGAGTTTTACCATTCAAAAGCTTCTCAAACATCACATGGCAGCCTTTTTCTATTTTAGTCTTCCCAATGACATATGTATGCCGGGTGGCAAAAGTTCAAAGTTATGAATGAACTTTGTGTTTGAAGACACACAAAGCCATCTAGAGGCTTTACAAACAAAAAAATAAATAAATAAAACGAAATTTGTGCTTCAAAAACTAATGGATCACATCAAGGTCTCATCTTGCTCTGTATGTGTATGTGTGTGTGTGTTGGAGATTTATTAGTCTTTTAAGATTTAACTTTATTTGAAAGAATCTCCATCTATTGAGACAAGATGGGATGCATACAACTAGACTATATGTATAGTTAGTTGCTATGCTTAGATTACCACAAAAAGCAAAAAAATAAAAAGAATTCTCTTTGGGCTTTACAAATGCAAGGAAATGTATGTCAAAAACGAACAATTTCATTAAAGTAAACATGAGCTTTTCATAAAAAGTTTTTTTTGTCAAAAGAAATGAAAAGTTTTGGAGAAACACACACAGAGAGTGAGAGGAAGAGAGAGAGAGAGAGAGTGAAGGGAGAGAAAGAGAGAGAGACTATCTCTCTTTAACCCTCTCAAAAAAATTCCTTCTATGTTCCCAAAAACATTGATTAATCTTCCCAAAAAAGGAGAAACAAAAAAATGAAATGAAAAAGGCACATGTGCAACCGATCTCTTCGTCTGACCAAATGAAAATGAAGTGCGTGCGATTTTCACGTGAAACCCGTGAGAATGAATTTGCATGCAACACACATATGTAAATACAATGAAGCACAACCATTTTCTTTTTAATTTATGAATTTGGGGTGAGAATAGAGAGAGAGAGGTAAAGAGAGAGGGAGAGAGAGAGAGAGAGAAGAAATTATAAAAAAACCTTTTTTCATGTTGTATGAAGGCTGGAAGGAGGGAGAAGCTGAAGATAGCGCTTGTCATCAATGTATAAATGACTTCACTTATTATTATGTTCAACAAAATCTTTCAAAATGACCCATGGTCAGTGGTTTGAACACAAAAAACTCCTTTTCTCAGATTATTCATACGTTTTCCCATTCTTATGGTTCCTTTTGAAATTCAGAATATAAATACTTCAACTGTGCTTTCTTGTGCTTACTTCCAAAATCAATAACAACAATGAGTAAAATCAACGAAAACTCAAGTGAGTTTCTGTGCTTCTCGGGGTGGGGGGGAAGGCTTGCTAGCTGGCTAATACCAAAAGCAGAAAACAGTCTTTTGGTGCTCATTTATCAGTCAAAAGAGGAATTACACATCAGATGTGTGAGTTTGAGCGATTACATCATATCTTGTCTGCTCAACCTTCCATCATAACCGTTTAACGTTACAACAACCAAAAGACAACTTTCGTATTTCGGAAAAGCAGAATGAAATGAAGAAAAAAAAGATTTTGTGAGTTGCAAGGAAACACATTCTCAGCCGTGTATGTATGAGGGCCAACGTTTGTGTGTAATGTTATTATTTACAAGTATTGTGAGATGAGATTATGAAATTGGAAGCAAGCAGAAGCTGAAATGCAAAAAATGAAATGAATTCAGAAGAAGAAGAAGAAGACGAAATGTACGAATACATGCATCTATTCAAACATTTCAACACAGGGTCATTTGCATAGGAGAAATGATGTTTCCTTAGATGGCCAGCTTCACCGGCCGTCAACCTCCCTCTAACGCCGACGACGTGGATGTTTGAGTATGATGAGAAGCATAAGATGCTGCTGATGTCATCAACTAAGCTTTTTGATCACACAGGCCACAAAATGATGAAGAGGGAACATTGCATTGAAGGAATACATAAATAATCGTTTTTTTTTGTTCTTCCAACTCAGCTAGGATTGGATAGTTGCTGAAGGTTTCAAGCTGTCGGAAGGATAAGTGAATGAAAAATTGATAATGAGAGCTTTGATCGGGAAGAAGCTTGTGAAGAGAGTGAAATTGATTTAACACGAAATTAATTGTTGGCAAGGAGCAAAGCTTCAACATGAGATGGAAAGAAAAGTCTTTAAGAAGAATGCAAGGAGAGGGTTGAAAAGCAGAAAAAAGTCAAAAGGGTGAGAGAGAGAGGGAGAGAGATAGAGAGAGAGAGGAAGGGGGAGGAGAAAGAGAGAGAGAGAGCTTTAATTATGAAATATATGAATCAAAGCTTCATGAACTAAGAATGAAATCTGTTTTTTCACAAGAAAAACAAATTCAATGGTATGTCTAATCCAATTGAATTTGAAATTTCGAATGAGAGAATGAGATTGAAAGAGAGAGAGAGAGAGTTGCAAACTAACCTTGTGGAGTTTCTGATGACATTCTCAAGTTTTCATAAGCTTACACGACTCTTCTCAACCTTTCATACGAATAGAGAGATTTCTGTGCAAAAAACGGAAATTTTTACTTCAAAACTAGCCTCCATCTCCGTTGAAGACTGGACAATAGCGGGGGAAACCAAGAAATTTCCATTTGGCGATTTGCTATTTGGAGCTTTTTTCAAATAAGCTTCTATCAAATCATTCGTTTGAGAAGACAAAAAATGAATTTCACTTTGTTTCAGAGTTGAGAAGTTGCCATCTCATGAAGGGAGGAAGAGAGAGAGAGAGGGAGGAGGAAGGAGGGAAATATGGGAAATTTCAAAAAATGGATGAGTTTCCATGAATTAAGAAGCATTGCTCTCTTCATTTTGTGTTTTTGCGAAGCCGTCATTCTCAAATTGAGTGAGATGAGGAACTTTCTCAAATTTCCGATTTGTAAAATGAAGTTTTCGTCTGTTTTGAATTGCGTGAGGTCAGAAGACATCGATCATCCGACACGTTGAGGAATCATTTTTCTTTAGAAAGTTGTACAGAGCGGTTGTTTCGGAGAAAGCAAGAGATGAGCTTTTCCTCCTCCTTCTCGCTCTCATAATTAACATTTCTGTTTTTTGTTGAACACACAAAGTGCATGTGCAGCTGATTAAAGTAAAGAAATATAAAAAATAATAAGTTATAGATGTATGGAATGCGTATGTGTGGTAGACGAGCATTCTCTCCAGAAAAGATGATTGGTTAATATTCGGATGGAAACTCTTATGATGAGGCAGTAGAATCTGATTAGTGAGAGAAATGCTCGATGTGCGGCCGCAAAAGACTTGAGTTGATTCTCTCTCTCTCTCCCTAAAGCTGTACTTTCAAGAAGCAATTAACCAATTTCGTTTATGTTATTATACAGATAGGATGGGGATAATGAAGAGATGAAAGGACGAGTATAGTTCAGATTAACCTTTTGTTTTACAAAAAACAAGTTCCCCGCTTGCTTTATCCGTATGTGAAGGGATGAACGACATTATTTTCGAAATCAAACAGTTGGTTTGAATCTCTCTCTCTCTCACCCCCTCTTCTCGTCACTACACACACGTAATCATGAATCATTTCAAATATCTGTGTTTGATCATCAATTATCTTACGAAAGTTCTTTTTGAAAAACTGTTTTGCTGTCTTCAACCTTTGTCAAAAAAATAAATATTGCAACCTTTGGCATAACAGCTGATATTCTTGTAAATTCAGAGCAAAACAAAGAAAAGTTGGTCAAATACTCTGTTCAGAAGCTCTACCTCGACATACTCGCATTCAGACATGATTCTACTTCTTTTCATTCTGCTTTGTTTATTTTCCACATCTCGAGGTTCGTGTAAGCTTCATGTATGGCATTCTCATTCCGTATTTTCATAAGGCGACTCTGTCATTTTGGAAAATGAATGCGTTAAAACATCAGAAGAATGTCGTATACGACTAGAAACTTTCAATGGTACAAGAGCATTCAGTGAGAAGTAGAAAAGTTGTTTTCAAATAACATTTAAGGACTACCTGGTAGAGATTGTTTCGTGTTCTCTTCTGAATACAGAAGCTGCTTTGTAATAAATGAGGAATCAAGTATGGAACTTGAAGACTTGAATGTAATTTCCTCATTTCTCTAATTACTTATCGTTCGTTCAGACAGCAACAATTCTCCGAACTGAAGAAGGATCAGATGTTTCATTTCAAAATGAGAAAAAGGTCTGACAATTGCTTCTCTTTCGCTCATTCTATTTTAAGACTAATGGAGCTGCTGTGAGGGGAAGCACAGTATGGAACTCACCTCCACGTTTTCGTCGCTACAAGGGGAAGTCAGTGATAGTTACATGTCAGTGTAATCCGCTTGATAGATAAGCTGTATATCCACTTCTCGAAGCAATCTCTTCTCATTTCGTGTTCATAGTATGAATACTCCTATTTGTATATTGAATTCAATAAATATTTTTCTCGACATATCACTAGATGCATGATCTAGGTGGGGTTATAACTCAATTGCAAACTACAAACTTTCAATTGTTTGTTAAGAACTCAAATATGACAAGTTTTGGTTCAGCACTGGCCCCGGTCCTACGAAGCAGCCTTAGAACTGCATTGTCCGAATCAGGATAATATGAGAATATTGGTACTGCAGTGATCTGAACTCATGAGAGTGAAGGCTGTAGATATAACTTTGCTCACACACTACTCGGTAAGAAGCTTCCTAATGATTAACTTTGTCCTCCCTCTCGCAGAAACGAGTAGGGAAAGACTGGGTTCTGAAAATCTGGAGCTTGAGCTTTCATGAAAAGAAGAAGAGAGAAAAGACTGAAATGGTTACTCACATCCGATTCAGTTTTTCGAGCTTTTTCTAAATATGGTACTCGTTTCTCATTCCGTTCAGTAGGAACTGAGTTATTCCCTCGTAAACTTTCCTCCAGAAAAACCGCAAAACGTACGTCGTACGATGTACGGTGCGGAAGTTCATAAGTACACGCCAAGTTTCAGACTTCGCGGCTTCCACGGACCAGATCCCTAAAAAAGGCAAAACTATGACACTCAGAGTCGCATTTTTTTGAATGTTTAATTCTTTCCTCGGTCTGGATTTCGTGTCGAGACCATTAAAAATTTGGAAAAGTTCCAAAGATTATTGATTTTTTTCGTACTTTTTTTGGCTTTTTCTGATCGTTTTTGTGCTTCTCCTTAGCTTTTCCTCGTTTTGAATTGTGTTTTCTATTGATATTATCCTCTTCAAACTCTCTTTCCATAGAAGGTACGCGCTTCTCATTCCGT